GGGATTAGGCTCTATTTTGCTGTGTGCAGGATCCTGAACTCCTTCCTGAAAATGCTTCTACGAATGTCTCTTTTTACTTTTATTTTACTTTTACTACCAGCCACGACGTAGCAGAACCACTGTCTACCTAAAATCCCGTCGCGGATCAAGGTGATTATGTAATCTCATTTGACCAGTGAGAACACAGAAACCGAGGCCAGGAGACTTGAAAACTTTTGACCAAAGACATTTAGTTAACGAAACCAGTGGTTGACAAAGTGTGTTCCCAGGACCAGCAACTTCCCCTGGAAACCTGTTAGACATGCGCATTCCCAGGCTCAGGTGGACTCCACATACCCCGGAGTGGGGCCCAGCAATCTGTTCTCACTTGTTTCTCATACATGCCCACCGGTGAGAACCACCAACGTGTGGGGACTGGGGATAAGTGGAACCAGAAGGAAGGTTTCCAGGTCCAGTCTGTGACTACCATGAAAATTCTGGGGTGCCTGGGTGGCTCAGTCCCTGAGACCTCTCTGGATTCTGGCTCAGCTCTTGATCTCAGGGTTGTGACTTCAATCCCGGCATTGGGCTCCATGCTGGGCAGTGAGCCTACTTAAAAAATAATCATAATTAAAAAAAAATATTCGGATCCTGCTGGTGCTTCTCTAATAGTGTTGAGGTTAGAGCCGCTTTTTCATCTGTGTTTCCTAGAAGAGCACTATCCTATCAACCTTCTGCCATGGTGGAGATGTTCTACACCAGCACCTTCCAGATCCATTGCTAGGAGCCCCATGTGGCCATTGAGCACTTGAAATATGGCTGGGGACGGTTTTCCTTTTTATTCTCCTTTTTCTTTTCTTCTCTCTCTCTCTCTCTTTTTTTAAAGATTCTATTTATTTATTTGACAGACAGAGATCCCAATAGGCAGGGAGGCAGGCAGAGAGAGAGAGGGGGAAAGCCGGCTCCCTGCTGAGCAGAGAGCCCCAACTCCCCCTGGGATCACGACCTGAGCTGAAGGCAGAGGCTTTAACCCACTGAGCCACCCAGGCGCCCCTTCATTCTCTTCAATTTAAATAGACAGACGAGGTCAGGGGCTCTGGTATTGGACAACTCTGCCGAAACAGTCAGTGAGCGTGTGTGTGGTTGGGGCTTAAAAACAATCCTGGAAATCATGTAGCAGTCTCTTCCCCGTCTTAACTGGTTCAAAAGAGATGTGGGTTCTGGCATAAGGCGGGAGTTTTAAAGCATAAAACACAATGCATTTTTTAAATGCAGAGATGCATCGAGAAGGAAACAAATATGACCTATAATTCCAACTCTCACGGATCATTATCAGTCAATGTTTTGGTGTGTTCCTTTCCTGTGCATTTACATAATTACAGCCATCCTGTATAGATAGCATTTTGGACCCATTTTTTTCATGTTTACTAACATTATATAGTAAGGACATGAAACATTTCCACATCATTGAAAAAACTCTCCGAGGAAAGCAGTCACCACCACCAGAACCCACAATGGTAAGGAGAAGAATTGTGGACTGAAATATTGCCTTCTGGCCACCACATCTTGCTAGTAGCTGACAAAGGTCATTAACTCTTTCCCTAGGAAAACAGAGGATTATACTCTCCCCAGTTACATAAAGACATGACAAAAATAACATGTTTATGAGTAATGACATTCTCACACTCACTCCTTAAGCTAAAGAAACAATGAAAAAATGAGAAGAGGCTAAGTAAATTTGCTGCCGTTTTCTGGATAGAAAACTAGAAAGAATCTCTATCTTAAAATAGTTAAAATTATACTAAAAAAATTATACTAAAAAGTTAAAATTATAATAAACTATGTGGCTCATACTTTAGAGCCTAGCCACTGTTTATTTAATAGAATTTTTTTTTTGAAGCATAACAAGCCAAACCGTTTGTTTCTTGTATTTCAGAATGGATTCCCACTAAATTCAATTTCTCTTTGGAAGAGCACATTTATTCTTACTGCTAGATTTGAATCTTACAATTTTTATTTGTTCAGCAGTATAGTGGAAGGAATAGTATGTGGAAGAAACTAGTGGAAGCTATGAAGTAAAGAGTATGGGTCGAGTCTGGCCTGAGGCATTTTCTGCTGGATGATCTTGGACCCAGTTACTGAGCCTGTGAGTCTCATTCTCCTGCTCTGGGCAGCAGGGATGGTGATAAAGATCTTGGGACTGCCAGCCCCTGCTCTGGGCTCTGTGAAATGAGACGATGTGAGCAACCGTGCGTGCCTGTCCGCAGCTTTGTGTGTAACCCAGTCTTCCCTGATGAGGGCTAATTCAGGGCAGACTGTTGTTTCTAGAAAAAGTTGACTTCTAAATTTCATTTTATTTGCCTTAATTCACTACCTAGGTAGCTCACTCCACTTCAGGGGCTGTTTCTCCTAACAGTTTCCATCCTCCACAATTCCAGTAAGTAGATCGAATTGTCATTAGTAACCATACAATGTGTATAAAGCATTTCCTAGTGGTAATTCAGATATAAAATACATCTCATGTTGTTGGTGAAAGTTCATTACACAGGGGCACCGGGGTGGATACTGGGTTAAGCATCCAGCTCTTGATTTTGGCTTAGGTCATGATCTCATGGGTTGTGGGATCAGTCATGGGTCAGGCTCTGTGCACAGCAGGAAATCTGCCTCACCCTGTCCTTCTGCTCCTGCCCCTGACCTCTCTCTTTCTCCCTATCTCTACAGAGAATAAATAAATTCTTTTTTTAAAGATTTTATTTATTTATTTATTTATATAATTTATTTATTTGACAGACAGAGATCACAAGTAGGCAGAGAGGAAGGCAGGCAGAGAGAGAGGAGGAAGCAGGCTCCCCGCTGAGCAGAGAGACTGATGTGGGACTTGATCCCAGGATTCTGGGATCTTGACCTGAGCTAAAAGGCAGAGGCTTTAACCCACTGAGCCACACAAGCGCCCTAGAATAAATAAATTCTTAAAAAAAAATTCATTATACAAGTCATGTGTTGCCAGGACAAGTTCTAATTAGAACTAGGAAGAAATTTGAAGATGACTTTAATTTTGTATGTATTTTAAACTTCAGAAAGAGGAAAAATATCAGAGGTGTATAATCTGATTTTGTTCAAATTCAGTCATGTTATACCACATTTAAGTTAGCCTATGGCTTGTGGTCCTATTGCTATATTGGCTAGTGTCTTTGGTTTATCTTAAATTACCTTTGTAGGGGAAGACATCGATCTCCATGGAGTATTCTCATAGAGCCACATTTCTAATCTAGAAGAATGGACTGGGTGATCTGAGTTTCTGCATATGCTATGTACTTACTTGGATTTTGTCACTTTGATTTCTTCTGAGAAGATGTGATCTAGACAATTTAAAGTATAAAATGTATTGAATTTGTCTCCTACCTGAACAACCATACATAGTCATTATCGAACAAATTTGAAAGAGAAAAGGAATCAAGAAAAGTCATTCACAATTCCATTACATAGAAGCAAGCACTTAAAAAAACGTGTTTTTAAAATTTATTTGCATTTTTTTCAAGTACCCTTTTAAGATCTCATTTATTTATTTGAGAGAGAGAGAGAGAGAGAGACTGGGCGCGCATGAGAGATCAGGAGCAGCGGGGAGGGACAGAGGGAAAAGCAGGTTCACTGATGAGCAGGGAGTCCAATGTGGGACTCGATCCCAAGACCTTGGGATCATGACCTGAGCCAAAGGCAGATGCTCGACCAACTGAGCCACCCAGGTACCCTGTGTCTTGGTTTTACACAAATCTAAGTATATTTTTTATAGCAAGTACTGTACATGCTATTACATGTTCTTCATTTTCTTAAAACATTTATTTATTTAAGAGAGAAAGTGCACACATTGCAAGTTAGGGGAGAGGCTGAGGGAGAGAATCTCAAGCAGTCTCCCCACGGAGCCCATAGACCATTTGGGGGCTCGATCTCAGACCTATGATATCATGACCTGAGCTGAAATAACCAGTCCACGCTTAACTGACTGAACCACCCAGGGGCCCCAAGCTCTTCATTTCTAAGGCCTGAGTCCTATCCCATTGAGTAGATATAATTCATTTTTCTTCTATTTTTTGGTAATAGTAGTAGTTAACATTTTAGACTTACACCTTTTAAAAAATGTTCAGATTAGGGGCCTGCCTGGCTCAGTGGGAAGAGCATGTGACTCTTGATCTCTGGTTTGTGAGTTCAAGCCCCACATAGGGTATAGAGATTACTTAAAAAAAAAAAAAATAGATAAACCATCCCCTCTAGACTTGTTTAAAAAAAAAAAAAGTTCAGATTATTTTCTTAGAGTAAGTAAAAAGTAGAAATGCTGGGTGGAAGAGTATGAACATTTCTCAGGCTCTTGATACATGTTTTTGGGCGGTGATGTTTCAGTTACACTTATTTGTAATTCCTTTTTCTCCTTTAGGTATACTCGGGATAATAATGTTCTAAGCCTAGAACAGAGAAAGTTTTATGAAGAAAATGGGTTTCTTGTCATTAAAAATTTGGTGTCTGATGCTGATATTGAACGCTTTCGGTACAGTAACCCTTCGTTGTTTTACAAAACTATGTTGTGTTTGCAGTGGGAATGTGAGTAAGATTAGCCTGTGTGTTCAGGTATTTTTGGGTGATTGGCTCATTGGGAAGTGGTTAGGGACATGAGCTCTGGAGCCAGACTGGCTGGCTTTCATCTTAGCCAGACTACTTCCTGTTGTGTGTCCTGGAGCAACGTACTTTCTACTCCTCTGTTTTCACACCTGTACAATGGGGATGATAATCGTATTTACGCCCTAGTGTTGTTGTGAGGACTGGATAAGGTGAAGTACACACAGATGCCTTTGAATGGGGTCTGGCCCATGGTAAGTGTGAGAGAAGTTATTTGCTGTTATTACTCAGGTACACCACATCACAGACGGTTCCTCACTGTTCTGTTAGGCTAAGGAATAGGTGAGTCCCCGCAGTGAGTTCCAGCCTCACAGTGAGGAGACAGGGGCTGCTGCGCTGGTCATTTTCTCCTCTCAATCCTCAGAACTACTCAGCCTGACCTGGAGGTCAGTCTGGTGCAGACACTCCACCCTGCTCAATCTCTGAGACTCTTTCCACAAAACTGGCCAGACAGATGCCTGGAGCCTGCAGTAATGACATCATCTGCCAATTTAATATTCTAGGAACGAGTTTGAAAGGATCTGCAAAGGGGAGGTGAAACCACAGGGAATGAAGATAATGAGAGATGTAACCATTGCAAAATCAGAATTTACTCCAAGTGAAAAGATGGTTTCAAAGATCCAAGATTTCCAAGAAGATCAGGAACACTTCAGATACTGCACTCTCCCTGAGGTTCGAGAACTTTCTGCGTTTTCAAGTGAATAACGCACCTGCATGCTTGCCTCTAGAATTGCTCACACTTTATCTGCTCCCTCTGTTTTGTGGCTGGTGAGCAGTGGTTCTCAAACGGAGGCATACATTTGGCAGTGCCTGGAGCTGTGTTGGGCTGGCACACGGTGGGGACCGTGTGCTTCTCTCAGGGTAGAGGTGGGCATGGTGGGTGGGTGAGCTGCTAATGGCGCCCGGGGATTCTACAGTGTGCAGAATAGTCCCCTCCCCAAATGATGACTTATCCAGCTCCAAATGTCAGTAGTGGGCAGATGGAGAACCCTCTTCTGGAGTCTGGTCATTATTCTTGATTGCAAAGGGCAGGAATTCTGCCTTAGAGACAGAGCCTCTCTTACTGTGGATATGGGCATATCAACAGGAGGGACATTGCAGATCCTATTCACTGGACATCCATTTATTGTTTCTTTTTGTCTTATGAACTGGTCAGTAGAGGTTTGTGTTCAGATTTAAACTCATTTTTAAGAAAATCAATATTCTTTAAGAGTAGTTCAGATTTACGAAGACAGCCACATAGTACAGAAGGGCATAACATGAAAAGCAAAGTCTCCCACCCTCCAGCCCCACTCACCGCCGAGCTTTCTGGTGTATTCAACTAGAAGTCTCTCATGGCTATGAGGGTGCATCTGTCTACCCCCACTTTTTGTGTCTCACGGGAACATACTGGTTGTCCACTTTACAAGTGTAGTTTCTACACTTATAGTAGATCTTACACATCTTTCTATATCACTTATACATTAAGCTATATCATACTTTTAAAATATTGCATAACATCCCATTGCATAAATGTATCACAGTTTATGAACAATTTATTTAGAATGGTTTTAAAGGAAACATTGCATATAGTACATGCTAGAAATTATAACTCCAATTGCTATTAGAGAATTTGCCCATGGGTGCACCTGGCTGGCTCCATTGGTAGAGCATGCTGCTTTTTTTCTTTAAGATCTAAGCGTTTTTCTTTGGGGGGGGCGGTGGGAAGAGGGTGAGGGTCAGAGGGAGAGGGAAAGAGAAAATCTCAAGCAGACTCCCTGCTGAGCACAGAACCTGACATAGGGCTAGACCTCTGGACCCTGGAATCATGGCCTCAGCTGAAACCAAGACTCAATTGCTTAACCGACTGAGCCACCCAAGTGGCCCAAGCATGTGGCTCTTGGTCTCTGGGTTGTGAGTTCGAACCCCAGGCTGGTTGTGGAGGTTACTTACAACTTTTAAAAAAATGTTTTTTTTAAATGGGACACCTGGGTGACTTAGTTGGTTAAGTACCTGCCTTGGGCTCAGGTCAGGATCCCTGGGTCCTGGGATGGAGTCCTACATCAGTCTCCTTGCTCAGTAGGGAGCCCTCTTCTCCCTCTACCTACTTTCTTTCTTGTTCTGACAAATAATATGACAAATAAATAAAATCTTTTAAAAACACATTAAAAATAATTTTAAAAAATAAAATTTGCCTCATAAAAATGACTGCGTACAGGTAAGCCAACTAGGATGTCAAGCCCCTTGGGCTAGGAACAGGAGGGGATATGATTTCCCAACCTCAAGTCCTGCTATGGAAGTGGAAGTTGTGTGCACCAATCAAGGAGAAAAATCTTGACGTTAGAGGCAGCACAGGGTTGAGTTAGCACGACCGGGACATCCAGGTTTCCCACCGCTCTATAATCTGAACCATGCACCTGCTGGTTCATGCAATGATTTTTAGGAGGTGGGTCATGCTTTTAGTAGTTAGGTATTTATTTTAATGTGTAGTG